CCACCGATGCCCCAGCTTCCAACAGCAGGCGAACAACATCTGCATGACCAGCAGCGCTGGACCAGTGCAAAGAAGTTCTCCGACCTGCAACATAAGCAGCGAAAGGTTGAAGCGATGGAAAGCAATGTGGTCTTGATCAAAGCGCATGTCGCAATGGGGTGGCTCTCTTTAGTTCGCCTGTAAGGTTCGTACGGGGGAAGGAACTCGATGTGTCTCGATGCGTCTCGTTAAATCTTGCGAATCTTCAGACGTGGGGGATTTGTTTTGACCCAGTTCTTATCTCGCAGCCTCTTTGTGTATGTAATCTGATGGTGGGCAAACGGATGTTTTCAGCGTGCATGTAATGTACACAGGGGGTGGGGAATTTGATCTATGTCTTTAGCTGAGCTCTTTAGGTGAGCTTTAGTTGCTGGAGTGGGTTGCTTTGGTTGCTGAAGCGAAGTTGCTGAAGCATAGTTGCTGAGAGTCTGTATCACGCACCAAGTAAGCAAAATGCAAACTCTCCATCCGAACTGCATCCAATTGCAGAAGTGACCAACGAGTATTACTCCTTAGGCACGACCCAACTGCATCTCACCTCTCATGATGGCATCAACAGCGGCTCTTGCCACCAGTAGCACTTTCACAACCGATGCGTGACCCCTGGCTGCACCCCAGTGCAGGGCTGTCATGCCTCAGCATGTTGAAACGCGCAGGGTGGAGTAATGTCAAGGCGTGTAGGTTAAGGGTCTGAGGTATGTGTTGAAAGTTTTTGGTCTCTGAATTGGTAGTTGATAGCGTCTCTTCTCTGTATAGGATGACTGGCATGTTTTGAAGAAGTACCCAAAGAAACCTGTTTCATTCATGGCTAAGCTTAAATGTAGCGACTTCTGCCTACACCACGGCATTTCTATTTCGGTCGCAAAGCGGCTCCCTGAGTTGATTCTTTCAAGTACTTTTGCGGCTCCCTAAATTTAAAGGTTTGGATGCACACGCTTTCTCCCACTCAATGGAACGTCGACCTCTTCAGGAAATTAACGATGGGGATGTTTGGGCCAACTGTTACACACACCGGATGTAGTCGCCCACTATATAGATATGGTACGGTTTTCTGAGGAATTTGAGGCACCGCGGACCCGTCCCCTGGGTCCGATTCTCTGGGTTGGGACCCCGCGCCCTGCCCTGATCGGGTTCAGAACTATTCTCGAATTTCAGAAAAGGCTTCTGGGAAAAATCATCTGAAACTCAGAATTCAGAATTCCACCATGTCGTTTGCTCAACTTTTTTTTGGTCTGATCGCCCATGAGTGCAGTCCAAAAAACAAAAAAAAAAAAACAAGTTGAGGGAGCTACATCGCATTGAGAGAGCAAAATTTACCGAACCCTGTAAATTACAGCAATCCCTGAAAATTTCCCTCTCACTTGCACGTCGCTTTCTCAAAGTTTTTTTGAAAAAAAGAATGTTATTTTTTTTCCAACACCGAGTGCGCGAAAAATAAAAATAAAAATAAATAAATGGGTGAGCTATACACCTCGGGATTATTCAGCGAGCACGCCGCAGCACCGCGCTACCGGTGTCTTCCAAACGCCCCTGCACTGATCAACCAAAACTGTGAATTTGCACACAAACATGCCAGTGATGCGCCCAACCACTTGAACTATCTCCAGGCCACATGATTTAACATCAGAAGAAAACTTAAGCAAAACCCTGAGCGAGATACATCCTATTGAGATAGCATGCGAGAACAAACCCTTGATAAATTGATTCTATAATATCTATATCTTACAACTGCACAGTATATAGAACACAACTGCACAGTATATAGAGGAATTAACGCAACACATGCATAAATCAAAATATTGTTGTGAACAGCAAACAATATCATCTCAAGCTTGCATAGCAATTATGGATTATCAATCGGATTTGAACTCCCCAATATGTTGTTACGTCAAATGCATTAGACAACCAATGGAATCTCTGAATTTCTCAAAATAAACAACTTCCAGTCTTCAGGCCGCGGCCATCCAAAGTGCTTTGCATCTCAAGCTGAGCCCTGGCAGCAACCAGCGACTCTAGCGCTGGAGCATTGCCAAATTCTGCCGCCATGTGAAGGCTAGTCATGCCTCAAGAAAAACTTGTGAGTTGAAAAAGTAAGAAGACAACTTTGAGACTCGCTATCGAGATTTATTTGGAAACTGCTCTGCATCAAATCTGCTTTTTGCTGTGCATAACTCTGAGGTTGCGGCCGGTGACGCTGGTCGCATCCACGTCAGCGCGGGCGGACAGCAGCCGCTCCAGCACCGCACGATCACTGGACCGTGCCGCAAGGTGCAAAGGGGTTCGACCTCACAACTGGCTGCAAGTCTTACTTCAAATATTAAGTTGCAAGTCTAACTTCAAAAAGTAAACACATATTAAGTTAACTTAACATACGTGGCCAAATTGGGCTGCAAGGCCCAGGGGCCCATCGCCTCGGTGAGACGATGGCTGGGATGGCACCAACGGTCGTCACCAACGAGACGAGGCCAGTGCCGTTCTTGGTGCTCTCCACGCTGTGAGGGGCGACTCGTAGGAAGTGTTTCACGGCTCCAAGTTTGCCCTCCTTGGCAGCCTGGATAATGTCGCTGCCTCGCAGAGTTTTGCCAAATTAAAGTTAAGTTTATATCAATGGAAAGTTTTTGATATCCCCCATCCCCACCATACCTGGCATTTCACTCTAAGATCCAGACAAGCAGCTGCCTCGATTTTCTTGGGCTGTAAATCATTGGAGAACGTGTCATGCAATCTGTCTTTGAGGTTCAGGTTCATGATGTTCATGAAAAAATGTTCCAAGGAATACTAACCTGTCAGGAAATGCGCTTCCAAAATCTTCCAAGCACCTCAGGAGTGTTTGCCAACATGGTGACCTTGGAAATGCCAGAGATGGAATCAGAAAAACACCTGACACAGCTTGACTCACTTGACAATTGGACTCAGCCGCTCCACTTCAAATGACATTCAAATGACAACTGGGATCCCCTGCAACCTGATGTAGAAAGCAGGCGCGCGAGCAAACCGCTCCGAAATGCTGAACTTGATGCTGCAAATCGACAAAGAGAAAGTCTTGCTAAGTCCAGCTGTCTGAAAGGCATTGCCTCACACTGTTCTCAATCCGCTATGTTTCGATTACATGTTTTAGACGATGGCATGTTTTTTAGAAAAATTCATTTTGACGACGGCATGTTTTTTTTTGGACGCTCAGCAAAGCTAAAAGGATTCTCTCAGTGTCCCTGACGAGGCCTCAGCCGCAAAGGAGATTTCCTCCAGCATCGCCTTCTCCCCCATTCGTTGAACGGGATGGGATTCTGCATGATTCTGTGGCCATACATGATGAACTCCTCTAAAGCCCATTAATGACATTTCAATGTTGAACCATATCGTGCACCGTGAAACAACTAGGACTTAATGCCAGTGAATACAGTATCAACAACCATTCCTCTAATTGCAATAGCCATCACGAAGTGCAATTACTCAATACCATATATACGGTACTGAGTCATCGGTTGACAATGTGGTTAGATGGTTAAATGGTCAAACCATATTCGAGTGCGCTGCAGCCACAAAGTTGGAGCTGGCTCTGCTGTGCTATCCCATGGTTCAAACTTAAAAACCAACAGCCATCAACTGCATGCCATGACCTAACATGGACATTGTATCACCGCAAGTCATGGAAAAGTTTGAGGTGAATTTGAGAGGGATCGGAGATCACCTTGAAAGTAAAAACATTCGAGGGACAGAAGTTTGAGTGCGAAAGTTGGGGACAAACGAAACATACGAGAGAAGGTGTAGAGAAGCAAGGATGAAGAAGCAAAAACAGACAGGAGATTAGGGCACAACACAGGAAACTCCTCTCACACTCCAAAATTTCCAAGATCAACTTCCTGAGAGCAACGCCATTGGACCCATCATCGCGGATCACCAACGGCGCAGCCTTTGCACAGGTCATCTCGTGAAGGACAGCTGTTCAGCATCAACTGTTCAATGATGCGAATTGATTCCGAGGTCATGGACTCCCCTTAGCACGGCACTCGAGATCCAAGGAAAAAATATGTCACAAATCCATGCACGCTGCTCAAACAAGCTATCTGTGCCCGTTATCTGTTCTCCCATCCATGCACATTGTCTGTTTTCCCTTTTCAACGACCCAACCTCTGGACATAGAACATAGAAAATCAACGATGAACATGAGAAACATGGAGACCCAACCTCTGGAGGTGATGGTTGTCATTGATCGGCACGAGTACATGAGATGATGCCAGGAACGCACAGGCAACATAAACACAAAAGGCATCCCAGGTGAAAAATGGTGAGAAATGGTGAAAAATTTCACATCGTTTGACAAACGTACTGGAGATCCCAGGTGAAAAATTGTGAAAATGGCTTCTCTCTGGAGCGTCACAGCATCTTGGTTAGACGATGGCATGTGCAGCCCATGCGTCACAATGATTATCACAATGGATATTACTAATGCTTCCCATCAGTAATGTTAATCATATTCATCATCATCAACGTCATTGGCATGCTTCATCATGTTCATCCGTTTCTTTTCAACCAACTGATTTCAAGTGAATGCTTACGAATCTTCTTGAAAATTGTAGTTTCAGGTTTCAACCACTTATGGGTAAGATATCCCTGAAACAAATAAGAAAACCGTTAAGCTATGCAACCCAGGGCGGACGGCTAAAACCTTTTTGTCCTGAGCCACAAGTGCTACAGATAGCTGCTATTATACATGGTGATTTTGGGTGATGTGTAATTACACCCCCCTCGGTGCGGTGGGCACAGCGGTGCGCGAGCAACGAACAGCTCTCCACACACACACAAAGGTCACCAAGGCTCAATCAATGAGTGAATTAATGGCCGCGACTGCTCACGGTGGCCACAAAAGGAAGATGTGCGCTTAACAGAGTCTGGTCCTACCATTGGCACATCCTTTCGGATGGCGTTGAAAAGAAAATGGAATGCAAACGAAAGACAACTGATCACTTCTTTTCGACCCAGTTTCCACGTGCATCCATCAACCACCACTTTCCTTTCCAATAGGTTGGCTTTTGATACTCTTGCGCAGGCCTTGCACTCGATGATGAGGCTTTGGCAGCTGCTTGCGCAGTGCGACTTGACGATGCATCAGCTGAACTTGCTGCCTTTGGAACAGAAGCTCTTGCAACATTGGCGTCCTCGGCAGCTTTGCGCTTCGCCTCGGCATTTTTGGCCTTAGCCCTTTCGGACTGCTGCTGCTGTTGCTTCGCCAGGTCGACCACGGTCTTGTGATTCTTTGCGAAAATGTTGTTGAGCTGTCGTTGAAGGTTGTAGTTCGCATCCAAATGTTCCACACCCTCCCATGTGATCAGGATGTTGTCATGTGGGAACCTTGTGACATGACGAACGTACTCATCATGGCTCAAAACTGCATTCTTGAACAGTAAAAATCCAACCCAGGTCATATTTGCCATTGAAGTAATCTGGAAAATGCCTTGGGTGACTGTTCAACTAAACGAGTCTGACCGCTGATTTGTGTTTGATCGAGGTCTGTGCCCCCACTCCCCCAACGATCTCAGAATGAGTCCTCTTGAGCTTCGGCATGACGGCAAACCTGAGCAGGTCAAAGAAATGCATGTCCTCCTCGGTGTTGCCCTCCTCCAGCATTTGCTCTCGGAACAAGTCATCCATGAGGTAGCGATCGTGGACGGAGTGAAAACTCAAATCAATCACTGCTCTCTTGTGCTTGCCCTTGGCGTCGTGCACCCAGTCAGTCTCTGGAGAAACACTCCCACGTCCTGCAGCATCGACAATTCCAAGAGATTGCAGTTCCTTTCCGGTCATCGACTGAGCCAAAACATCTCCTTCAACGCGGTGCTTCAGACCAAGCTTCTCCATCAGTTCCACCCGACGCTTGCCGATCGATTTCCTGAGCTGAGATGCAGTCTTCTGCACGATGAACCCACATCCGTCGCACTTCAACTGGCCCTCGACCATCGTTGCATCGCACTCCGGACATTTCAGGATCTTCAGCGGTCGGTTCAGCACAGTTTCAACACCTAACCACTCGGCAGTCTTGCCTGCAGCCGTTGCTGAGCGTCCAAAACCTTCAAAAGGACCCGTTGCAGGAGGGATCACACTCTGCTTTGGCGGAGGTGACTTGCCTGCGGTGTCGGCCTTCGGCTCTGGCTTCAGGAATGGCACGCTATCGCTAGCGGCGGCTTCTGACCTACTGCCAGAACTTTCAGCCACTGTTGATGTGCCCTTTGCTGCTGTCTCAGTCTTGACCTCAGTTTTGTCATCGGTCTTCTCCTCCTCGATCACTGTCTTGTCAACCCTTGAGGGTGGCTTCGGAGCAGGTCGAGTTGGCATCTTGGGCGGAGTCTTTGGTCCAGGAACAGCTGGCTCCTTTGGTGGAGTTGTTGGTCCTTGCACTCCAGCTTCTTTGGCTTTCTTCTCGGCGATCAACTTCTGCACGCTCGGCGGTGGTGCTTTCACCTTCAATGGCATGCTCTTTGGAGCAGCTTCGGCCGAGGTCACAGGTGCTGGCACTGGGGGAGCTTTGAACGGCAGTTTTGGGGACTTGTCCTCAATCTTCTGCACGCGTTCACTCACAGCAACGTCCAGTGAATAATCCGGCTCTGTGCGCTGAATTCGTGATGTCCTGACCCACAAGTTCTCGCCAGTGTCGGTGTCCTTCGCGGTGATGACGTACCTGGCAGGAATGGTCATGGTTGTGAGAATCCCTTCACTCTCCGTCTTGAAGAAAATGATTCCATCACGAACAGCTTCTTGCATGTTGATCGTCAATTGAATCGGGTGAACGCGACGAAGTCCTGACTTGAAGTCTTCGTCTTCCAATGCCTTGGCAGAACAGTACACATGCGCTCTTCCGCTGTTCACTCGAGGACCACCGCCGGGGATGAGGCCATTGAGCATAATGTCTTTCCAGAGTGAACTCTTCGTCCACGTCCTTTCCTTCGACAGTTGGCAAACCTGCAAAGGTTGCGCGATCCTCTTGACTCGTGTAGGGAGAACAATATACCGTCTTTGCCAATGCATAAGGCTTGAGATGGCTTGCAGCGTGCTCATTGTGGCCTTGCACACAACGCACCTTGAACGGCCAGTAGCTCAAACTCATCCTGGTTGCAATTTGCATGCCTGGTGCTCCAAGGAATTGGAATCTGCCACGACCATCTTGCAACATTACAGCGATGATGTCCTGCATTGAAAGCCGCTGATCTTTCCATGGCAACTCCCTGAAGAGTGCGACGCAGAAATCCTCAATGTCAAGAAACATTTGATCATCGAAGGGCAAACCTGCGTTCTTGCCATGACCTCTCAAGACCTTGTTGAACTTGGTTTTGTGGTTGTGGAGGTGGCCTGAGTACCAGATTTTTCTGCCATCTGCGGGTTGCATCATCTCCTGAGTGACTGGAACGAGTTCGTATGCGTGACCCTCAACGATGACATGCTGGACTTGATCGCCTGCAACATTCTCCTCAAGACGATAGTGATAACTATCCACGTGACCACTGACATGCGCGACGGCTCTGTCTCGGTGATCCGAAACGTATGGCCTGTGCCCCAAGTAGTTCTCAGCATACTTGTCGTCAGATGTGTCAACACCATCCCAAGGATTGTACTCTGGCACGTTCTCTCGAACGGCGGGCTTTGTCTTGTCCAGCGGCTGCGACTCGGCCTCTTCAATGTCCTCCTTGTCGACTGGAGCCATCGTGTTTGGCTGTTCATTCTCAACCTCCTCCCAAGTAAATGGCTTTCCCTCCCCATCAACATCAAGCGACTTGGTGGAAACCATTGGGGTGACATGCCGCTTCCATAGTTGTTGGAACCCATCGGAGAACTGTTCAAGCGTCATCCAGCCTTGACGTTGATCATAATCGTTCATGTTCCGCCGACGGTGCTTGAATGCAACGCGAGAAAATTTCTCCACCTGTTCCTCCACTGCAAGCAAAAGGCATGTTGAGAGAATGAAGTGAACCATCTTGTGGGCATTTGCCTCTGACTGCTCAGCATGGTAGTGATCTTTCAACACCAACCTGTACGGCAGTTCATCATTGACCAACCACTTGATGTGACCATGCGGGTACTCCGACAACTCAGCATGGAAGGCTTCCCGCAATTCCTTGTGCAGCATGCGTCCGCAAGGACGTGACCCATAGATCTCCTCGTCCGGCTCACAAAGAAGAGCCGCCGCACCAATGCCAAGCTTCTTGAGCTGATCACTGTACCAAGTCAGGTGGCGTTTGCAATCTGCAAGCAAGTCAGGGTAGATTCCCTCCGGGTAGTCGTACGGCCAATGTCCAGTCTCATCGATTCCGTACTTGCCAACAAGTTCGTTGCCCGACCATACAACCAAAGACACGATCTGGAGCTTCTTGTGTGGCAAACCCGCAAAGGTTGCGTCGAATTCAGCTTTGGCCTCACGACACAACTCAATGTTCCTTTTCACGATGGGTCCTAGACTCTTGCCCCACAACATCTCATGCTTCACCTTCCACACTTCCTTGCGTTTCGTGTCCGACAAAGCCTGACACAAGTCGTGGCGGCGCAAGCTCTTTTTGGAGCCTGACACCATTGCGAGGATTGAATCCGAAGTGATAACATAAACTGGCACAACATCGCTGTTGGCGTCTTTCCAAATACATGGGATCTCTTCGGGTGCTGGGGCTTCAAAGTTTTCCAAAGCGCCGAAATCAACTTCAAGCAGGCGGTGAATGTTGGGCAACCAGTCTAGGTCTTTCAAGTAGACACCAGCGATGGTCTGACAGGTGTACTCGCTCATGAAAGCTAAACACGCGTCCTTCCCTTCTTGAAGAAGTCCAAGTTCTCTGGTGTTGCCCACACAAGCCAAGGTGCAGAAAAGCTGCTCCCATCCAGCCTGGTTCCCAACCAAATCGTAGAATCCTGGCCAGAGCTTTGCAGGTGATGGCACACTCTCTCGAGTGGCGTCGGAAGCAGAAGTTTGACGAGATGACGATGCCATAAGTGCTGGACAAGCGCGGAGCGACCGAGGTTGATCCGCTTTCGATCTTTGAGCTTGCGCCAACACTGTGGATGAGAAGCAGCTATGAACCAGATCTGTGAGCATGAATGAATAGTTCTCGGCAACTTTGAGTGCTGAACCCCTACTCTGGTCATGTTGGTGTGAACCATCGCACTGATACTGGTCAAACACTGACATTGAGTCCATGTTCGAAGCTATTGTCCAACCTTTCAACATCGGTAATCCCTTTCCTCCGACAATGCCAAACCTGCAACCATGGAACGAGTGTGGTACTAAATCATGTTTTTGCAAGAATCTCTGAACTACAGGCCATTTCCAATATTTGCACTGCATTGACAACTCGAACGCGACAAAAGTCCTATCATCCTTGATGTCTTTTAACAGCTGTTGCAACGATTGGAAGAGCTTAGAGAATTCCTTCTGTTGTTCTTTGATTCGTTCTGAACCTTCCAAAGTCTGTGCATTGACATTTCCCCATGACTCCCTCCCACACATGGCAATGAAGCATACAAAAGCAAATGCGATTGTGGATGTTCTTTGCGAAACTCCTCAACTTCATTGGCTAGCCATTTCCGGCAGCGAAGGGTAGTCCCATCATGTTTCTCTGTGACCCGGATCATGTGGCAACCTTTTGTTTTTGGTCGTGGTTGGCACAGTTTTGAATCCTCTGAACAGCAAAATTCGATGAGCATTCTGTTGCAGTTGTCAGTTGACCCCGGCTTGGATTCCATGCCCCCCTGATGACTGGCTGCAGCGGCTTTAGGGTCTACTTGGCGCATCTTGACGGTGGCGGCAGAATCATCAATCCACGATGGTCCAATGCCAAGAAGCCTGAGAGCGTGCTGCCATTTGGTTGGGCTGGTGAATGCCTTGGTCAAAATATCTGCGACTTGCCATATGGTGCCAACATTTATCATTTCAAATAGGCCCCGTTCGAACTGCTGCTTAAGCCATTTAAAACTTATGTTTTGGGTCTTGTTGACATGGCGCATGGCTGAGGAAGTGCCTGTTGATGTCACGGTGATCGTAGCCTGGTTGTCCTCCATAAACTGAACCTTTGCAAAGTCTGAGAAATGAGCAACCAATCCGTTAATGTCGCTAGCCTTAAGCCCTCCATCGACATTCCCATACCTAATCTCATCAATCTCAGGGTCAATCCTGGTGAAGACGGAATCAGGTGTCGATGTTGGCTTGTCATTTCTGACAGCGGCCTTTTTGTTTCGTTTGAAAATGTTGAGTTGTTCAACCAGCGCGAGTAGTGGGATACCTTCAGCTCGAACGGCATGATTGGCTGACACCACTTCGGCTTCTGTTGAGGAAACAGCGACAACGGTTTGCTTTTTGCTAAATGCATTCAAGGGATAGTAAGTATTTGGCCCAACAAGGATCATAGCACAACCGGATGTTGATTTTGAATCGTGCTCCCCTGCATGATCGGCGTCGGCAAATAGCCATAGTTGACAGTCTTCCAGTGCATCACCAACAAAGCCTTCTAGGAATAGATCCTTGGTGGAGTTAATGTAACAAACCAACCGGTGAAGAGCAATGTCGCATTCTGCAGACCATTTGGTCACTCTAGAAGCTAGAGACTGGGTAGCCCTGAGAAGGTCGTACCTGGCCATTCTGGCCGCAAACAAGATTTTCATGAGCACCTTACTTGCTATTGGCTGCAACCTACCGGGTTTCTCTTCTTCCGACAACGTGGGTCTGGCTATTCCCGCTTCAGTGAAAGGTGTACTTGCTGTCGCCAACTTGGACTGATCAACTTTAGCTAGATCACAGTAGGCTTCAACACAAGATGAAAGAAACGCTGACATGTCGTATCTTACAAGATTCACTGGTTTTGTCACGCACTTCCCCTTAGCTTTGACAGCTTCTTCTATGGGTTTGAAGCACTGGGCTTTGACTTCATTCTTTGCTTCCCTTTTCTGCCGATGAGGTCCTGGCCGGTTCTTGCTTGGTGTGGCAAACTCCTTGGAGTTGCGCGGGCACGGCGGAGCATCCTTATCTTGACCATACCGAAACACGGTTTTCCCAGTCCAAAATTCATTGGATTGCACGGATGTTTGGTGAGAGTCCCAGTTATCAAGGAAAACTTGATCATTGACTTGATTCACCAATGGACAACCTTTGAAAGTGATCGGAACATCGACATATGTTACGCGATCTGAGTGCATACCTTGGGCAAACGTACCCCCCTCATCACCGGGCTGGTAGAACTTCTTCCTTGGCTGGAGATGATGTCTGGTCCAAGTGTGCTGCTCTGCATTGTGTTCCCAATAATCTCTAGTCCTATGGCAGGATGCTGCTTGAGTTGTTGGTGGGTCGAACACATGGGCAAACGGGTGAGCGTTGCGAGGGAGAGTAACATTGTTGAACTCTTTGTGATGACAACCAAAATACCTATCATATGGTTCCGGATCACCTAAGTTGATTGCTGAACGAAGGTTCTTCCATGCGGCGTCAATCTTATCCGTGGGTCCTGCCAGTTTAAAGTCATCTACATAAACCACGAGGATGCATTCAAACTCGGGATGATAAAAGATGCTTTGCCAAACGTCAGGAAGGATATGTTGCCAACCTTTGGAACCAATTTCTTTATTCAAGTGCTTCTCCCAAATGCCGCCACTGTCGGGGTGACCATACAATGCTAAGATTAATGGTACCATCGGCTGATGAAAGAGCTTGTGCCAATGCTTGGGCCATCGATTTCGAGGAAGGCTAAGCCACGTAGGCACACCGTCAAACAACGCTTGAATATAGGCTTGGATGGCGTCTGCTTGTTGCTTGGAAAAGCCAGGCTGCGAGCCATATGCGTCAAGCAATTTGGCTGCCTCCATCGAAGCTGGTGAACTGCCAAGCTCTGCGAACAATGCATGATCGGAGTTTTCATCTCTGACATTGTTGCCCTGGAACACTGTTCTACCTTTGAACTTCCTAAGTGGATTGCCTGGTTCCAACTCCGCACCCTTTTCATAACATGCCTCGAAAATCCTACCAAGGTGCACCTTCTGTTTCGCTGCGCGCGCGTCATCGATGATTGTGCGGCATTCGCGAACCCTACTTTCATCCCATACGCCCTTAGACCTAAGGTTTTCCCATTCCTTGTCAAGTGCTTCTTGGGCTTTCGGGTTGCGAGCGACCTCGTCCTTTGAGACTAGTCGTGCGACGTTTGCGAAGAGCTCAATGGCAGTCTGAAACTCAATCTCCTGAATCTTGGCTCTTACGATTTCTCGTAGCGACGAGCGATGCTGTTCAGGAGTTGCTGTCCTATTGACGGGCATAGCCGGCACGCTGAACTTTGGACGGCCCTGTGGGACTACTTCCCATTGTCCAGAACAAAGTGTTGCAACAGTGTGCACTGATTCTTGGCTAGCCGTTAAGGCAGCGGCATCTTTGGAGGCCTTTGCACTACTTGGCTTTGAGCCACTAGCTTTACTTTGGGTGGTGAGCTGTTCTTTTGCTTTCTTTTCCTTTTCCTGCGCGATAAACTTTGCACGATCTTGTGAACCCATTTGTTTCCAAAACTCTGAGGGGATATCAGCTGGTCGTTGGGATCCTTTTCGTTTTCGAACAAGCCTAAGACCATCCCACTCCATGTTGTCAGGAATTGGGTCACCTGAAGGTGTCAGTCTGGGGGCCCCGGACTCGGCAGCAATGTCGGCAGACATCTCCTGATAGAGTTGCTGTGCATCCGCATCGAGGGGTTGTTCTGGAGTCTGATCGGCTGGGTTGCCTTGCACGTACACGAATGGAGGTGGTGGAAGTGCCTCTGCTGCATCAGCATTGGGCACAACCTCACGGTTGGCGTCTTGAATCAAAAGGTCTTGTGGCTTGATGGCTTTAGGCTCTTTGGCCTCTTGTGCGGCGCGAAGAGGAAACACGAACCCGCCTGAAGGCAAAATGATTTGTCGAGACCGTTGCACTGTGATACTGCCGTTTTCGGCATGGTAATCTAGTGCGTCGAGCTTCGCAACAAGATACTCACCTTTCCACTGATGACCGGGTTGGATGTAATATCCAAGAAAGACACCATCATTTGCAGTGGGTGACAACTTTCCAGAAGTATTGTCAGGTCGATTGGGGTTGTTGTAGAACAAAATCTTTGCCCCAAAAGGAACTTTCATTCCCCCAAACTCTTCTCCAAACCTAAGCTTCCATGGGGACTCATTTCCATTCAGCTGTTGGCACGCATTCACTGCGGCGGCATGATGCTGAATTGCCAAAGGCCAATACCTGAGGGGGAGTCCTGATTGAAGAAGGTTGGAACGTGCTCCTTCGAGCATTTGCCTCACTTCACGTTCGGCGAACGATTTTGACGAATCAACGTACGGCATGCTTTTCTGATGTCGAATTCCGAGGTCCTTCATGGCTGCAATGAGCTCTCGACTGTTGTCGGTGTAGATGCTCTGCACTGGAACCTTGGGATCGATGTAGTGATGAAGAGCCTGAATGCAATCATCAGCTGACTTCGAGGAGGATGGATATACAGACCTATACTGGGTGTGCACATCTTTGATCACCAAAGCAACCACCTCGCCATTCACTCCCTCCTCCACGTTTGGTTTGATGATGACATGGTCTGCAACAACACGGTCACCAAAATCTTTAGTTTCCAAACGGCCTTGACCTCCCTTTCGCCTGGCCTGAGGAGCTAGCATCCGTGCCTTTTGGCACACCTTGCAGAAAGGGTTCTTGGGGAAATGTGTGAACTGGTGTGAGGCTGACATGGCTTCCTGCTCTAAGTCGATTGTGCTACGCGATCGAACATAGGCTTCATCTTCGCCCTGCGGAACCTGCTCGTCCAACGGCTGGCCTTCAACACCGGCTGTGGCAAACTCGTGAGAGTTGCGACAGTCAGCTTGGAGCGGGCGATCTTTCTTGAAAAATTTCTTCGGCACTACTTTGCATGATTCGTTCAACACTGGAACATGTCCATCAATTTCGAGAATAGTTACCTTTCCATCTGGTCTCACAAGGATTGGTTGCCCCCCTGATGGCCAAACAAAGCTATAGCCCTGCTCCATACACCGGATGCCGACTGACAACACTGCTGGGGTATGTTGCAAAATCAGAGGCTGGCATTCACGAGCGAGTCCATGGATCTTGGTGTCGATCACTTCGCGGGCCTCAGTTGCACCATTGGCGGTCATGAGACTGATCGGCGATTCGATGCGGTGACGATCTCCTGTCTTCGCGACTGAAATCATTTCTTCACTGATGAGGTCTTGTTCACTACCGGAATCAATCAACCAATTGATGGAGTTGCGTTGGGCTGCAGCAGCACTAGAGCTCGATGCAATGGGCTTGGCATGTGTTGTTGGTGGCTGCACCGTTTCCGGTGGCGAAGAACCAATGTGCTTTGGCTCCATCAGCCTACGACAACACTTGCAAGTGAGCTTCAAGAACACCGGATGATCCTCAGTGCAATTGAATTTGCATGCTGGTTCCCAATCGCCGTCGAACATTTCAACTGCTTCATGTAGTTGCCTTGCAACGACCTGGGCTTCATGAACCGTCTTGAGGTTAACCTTTGGGCATTCCTCAGTAGTGAAAACCTTCTCATGAACCTTGGGTGTGATGATGATTGGACACATATCTCCTCTAGCGGGGATCTTGCGATATTGAACACGGTTTGAAAACATCACTGACTTGCCCCCCTGATTCAGCACATCCTGCGAAGGCTTCGGCAAACGATTACGCTTGGCGATGCATGCACGCTGAACCAAACATGGAGCTGTCTTTTCCTTGTTTTTCTTCTTTGGATTGGGTGAGTCAGATCGGGGCTTTGCCTTCGGCTTGGCAGCGGCAGCTGCAGTGCTCTCATGCATGTAGTAACACTTGTCACCACGCTTGCACTTGCCAGCCTTGAAGAACGTGCACGGGATTTTGGCCATTTCCTCCTTCGTCAACTTAGTCTTGTTCTTTGGTGGGGACTTCGTCTTCGGTCTGGAGGGCTTCCTAGGATTGCGAGGCTCACTGTGAGCTCTAGGATCATGGCTATACGGGCACTTCTTTCCTAACTTACAATTTCCCTCACGGAACTTGAAGCAGGGTTTGTCCTTCTTATTGTCTGGCTTTGCCCTCTCTGATGATCTTCCTCTTCTTCTTTCTTTGTCTTCTTGCTTTCGATCATTGGCTGCTGCTGCGGCCTTGTTGGGGTTCTGACGTTGGGCAACACGATCACGATTGGTCCTAAGACGTTCTCGATCGATATAGTTGCGAACGCTTGTCAACAGGAATTGGTAGGTTTTGTTCTCCTCACCTTCCTTTGCCCGATCGAAAAGATCAATGTCATATTTCAGACTAGGTGCATGGCGAATCTGTCGAAGAAACAAGTCTCTCAGGATGTTGTCTTCTGGCGGTGTTGGCATACCCGCTAGGGTAGCGTCCCACTTGTTAATAAAACGTTTGATATCCTGGAGAGTGTCTCCTACTCGCTGCACATTCAAAAGGCCTTCGACTCTGTACAAGTTCCCTGCCTCTTCGCTGATTTTGAAATAGTCGTCGAACATGAGAAGAATGGCTCTACCACGGACCTGAATGCCTACCTTTGCCCTTTCCTCCTTGAAATTCAGGATTCGGGTGCTAAGATCGCCTTTGGCGGATCTAGTGAGCGCGGCTGACAACTTCGCGTCCAAAGTGGTGAAGATACCGGGATCTTGGAGTTCCTTCTCAAGCTCTTGCCTCGACTTCCTGACGTCATAAACCTCGTTGAGCCACAACCAAGCTGCGTCCGGCTGATCCGATGAACTACGGACTTCATCCTTCACTTGATTTTTCCAACTACGATATGTCTCCGGAGTTGGCATATCCGGCAACTTGATCGTATCTGCCTCTTTGGTTTTGGGTTTGGAGGCTTCATTGGAACGAGTCATCAACTGCGTCAACAGTGTAAGGATGTCATTGTTGTTCTGCAAAGGCTTCTGAGGGTCAGGCAGTTCAAAACCTCGATTTGGCCGTCCTTCTGATGGACTCGGGAACTCTTCCGTCGGTGTGAGTGACTTTGCACCTTCAACTGGTAGAGTCGGGATCTTCTTGTTCTCTGGCCGATCACTTGATGCTGCTGGGACGTCTGCCGCAGGAGCTTTCGGTGCGACCGAACCTTTGTCAAGATCTGACCTAGCATCGCTAAAGCTAGCTAGTTCATGCTGAGCGGGGTTGTCAAGAACAATCCTAAGCTTACTTCTGGTTTCGGCTCTTAGCTTTTCAAATGCTGACATCGGTTTCCCGGATGGCTCAGCCGCTAGGCCGGCGGACGCTTCATCAGAGCTAACGCGTGCTTCGCAACGATGTTCTAGTTCATCCACTTGGTCCTGAAGAGCTGCGCATTGGTCGCTCGCGTCTTGCAGTTCTAGAGCATAACGCATTTCTTGCGCGTCTAGAGCGGATTTTTCATCTTTCCGAATGCGCTCTACTCCGTTTGTAGCGTCCTCTACAGTTTGCCTTACTAGTTCTTGGTACTCTTCCGCTGTTGATGTTTGCACTTCCATGAGTTTAAGGTTGTACTCATTCTGCAGATTTTTACTGAGCTCCTGGACTTTTGACTGGTGCTCATTGTTGGCTTCCGTGTGGAACATCGATAGCCTACTGTTTGCTGCTTGCAACTCAGTCCGCAACGAAGCGATTTCAGCCTGGGCTTTGGCATGCTCATTCCTGAGCGCGTCAGCTGCCTGGGCTGTTGAGGCTCCCATTTCAGCACTGATGATGCTTTGATAGTGCTGAAATTCTGACCTCAATCGCTGCTGCTGAATCTCTAGGTCCTGTTTCTCCTGGAGATGACTTTGCTGCAACTGCTTCACAATGGCTTCTAAGACCTCACGGTGCCGTTGTTCCGCCTCAGCAATGACCTGTGGAAGGGCTGAAGGGTTTTCCATATGCAACAGGTTTTAGGGTTTAGGGTTTAGGGTGTATACGGTATAGTGCTCGCGTTTGCTTTCACGGGCGGGCTTCCAAACTGCTTTCACGCCCGCCCTCACCATGCGCACTCGCACGCGCAGCTTAGTGGCCCACCCCAACCACCCAAACTAAGAACTTTTAGGGTTTAGGGTTCCATTCTAACTGGAACCCCTGGCGGGTCCGGTTTTCCCTTTCCTTTCTGGACTGGTTTTGTTGCTGCATGCCCGCTCCCGGGCAGAAATGAAACCATAGAGCGAATAGCGACATCAGCAGACAGTTCGCACGCCGGAAAATCATGCATTGAAACACCGCTTCTTTCACGTGATGCGCTTGCGGGGCTTCTGCCTCAAGGGGGCAAAGACAGCAAGACAGACATACCTACGCGCATGCATTGGCACAGGCGAACCCATGCTGGGGCAGGGGTGCAGACGTCTGGCCGCGTGCCTACATAGATGGCCGAGGCAGAGAAACAAGCAAGCATGCAGGCAGGTATGCAGCCAGACAAAGACAGCCAGACAGACAGACAGACAGGTAGACAGACAGGCTAACAGGCAGGCAGACAGACAGACAGACAGACAAGGCAGCGAAACCGGACCGAAGCCGAGGACCGGAAAGGACCGGAAAACGCAAGGACCGGAAACGACCGGAAGACGGACCGGAAGAGGACCGGAAGCCAAAGCCCGGAAAGGACCGGAATCGCTTTCCGGACCCGGGCCCGGAAGACCGGAACAGGACCGGAAGAGGCAAAACAGCAGGACCGGAAGCGGACCGGAACAATTGTATTTAGTATTGATCGACCTGGTGCTCGCCCTTGCCGGCGCTCAGCGCCGAAACCGTTTCGAACCGTCCCGTTTTCGCAGAAACCTAGTTTAGTAAGAGTCATTCGCGGGCCCCGCGGCGTGCTGATCCGAGCACGCCGGTCCAAGAGAGGTCAGGCGTTACAACGGTGGCTCGATAGGCCCGTATGCTGGACCAATCTCTCCTCCGGTCTGGACGGGACTTAAAGCGCACGCTCCGCAAGGCCCGTGCTAATAGTAATTGTAGCGTCCTACCCTTCGTCCGGGTGCCTGTACGGAGGCTTAGCCAAGGCGTGCACAAAGACACACAAACGCAGGAGTGGCGTGGTGGGCAGGTACATAGATTGTTCGACGCGCGTGCGAAGCCAGTCACATGCGGCTTGGTGCCATATCAACACAGAATTTTACAGGCGCTAAGTATTGGCAGCTTTGACGCCGTGGTCCCACAGACAGAGACAGATAGATAGATAGACAGACAGACAGACAGACAGAGAGAGACCGACAAAGGGAGACCAGGAGCAAGGGGAACAGGCAGAAACAGACAAAGATGGATGAAGACGGATGAAAACCGACCCGCGCACACGAACAGACAGGACAGCGCACAAGATTAAAGGAACTTGCAAAAGATCAAAAGGGTGGTAACATTTGGTAGGATGGTGCTTTCGAGACTATATGCCACAGACAAAGGCTGTTTTCCTTTTACTTTGTGTTTGTCCCGTTTTTGGCACCAATGGTTCGGAGCAACAGATGTCTAGGCATACAAAGCCCAAGTATATATATATATATCTCTCTCTCTCTTCCAGCTGAGACAATCTGGCCCGCTGAGGTATGGCAATCCCTGCAGCAAGAGGGCGTCGCATTGCAACCTGGCCTGCGCACGCAGCTGATGTTGTGAGCGGTGGCATTGGCATGGTGATGTACGCTAGCTGTCATCTAGGAGCAGGGCGCTTCATAGCAGTGGTGGAGGCAGAGTGTGGTACAAACAAAAGAATGCTTTGTCCAGGTGCCCTGTACGGAGGCTTAGCCTGGCATGCACGCGAAGACACAAAAGCAAAAAAGGCGTGTTGGGCAGTCAGACTTGGTGGGCGGGCTTGTCGGTTGAGCGGCGTGAGTAGCAGGCAAAGAAGCCGATATAAGAAATGATAAGTAGATAGATGCGCAGATAGTGTGACGAGCTATATCTTGCAGGAATGTAGCCCCAGCCTCCTCGGCATTCTGCAGCATCTCCTTAATTGCAAGAGACCTGCATCCTATGCCCTGGCAGATTACGCGATCCCTTCAACACGGCAGCGCATGTATATGTGCACGTGCGTGTGTGTGTGTGTGCGTGTGTGTCTGTGTGTGTGTGCGTGCGCGTGCATGGCCAGTTAGTTACAGGCGGCTCGGCGCCATATCAACACAGAACTGTACAGGCGCCAAGTATTAGCAGATATGACGCAATGGTCCCACAGACAGAGGCAAACAGACAGACAGACAGACAGACCGACCGACCGACAGACAGACAGACAGACAGAAAAAGCTATACGAAGACAGCAAGGCGCACATGCAAACAGGTAGGCAGCCACACAGGCAGATAGACAGACAAGGCAAGGACGAAAGGGACCGAAAACGAGGACCGGAAAGGACCGGAAAACACAAGGACCGGAAACGACCGGAAGACGGACCGGAAGAGGACCGGAAGCAAAAGCCCGGAAAGGACCGGAATCGCCTTCCGGACCCGGGCCCGGAAGACCGGAACAGGACCGGAAGAGGCAAAAGCGCCCGACCGGAAGAGGACCGGAACAATTGTATTTAGTATTGATCGACCTGGTGCTCGCCCTTGCCGGCGGTCAGCGCCGAAACCGTTTCGAACCGTCCCGTTTTCACAGAAACCTAGTCTAGTAAGAGTCATTCGCGGGCCCCGCGGCGTGCTGATCCGAGCACGTCGGTCCAAGAGAGGTCAGGCGTTACATGGGTGGCTCGGTAGGCCCGTATGCTGGACCAATCTCTCCTCCGGTCTGCACGGGATATAATGCACGCTCCGCAAGGCCCGTGCCAATAGAAAGTAATGTCCTCCCCTTGGTCCGGGTGCCCTGTACGGAAGCGAGGCAAAGGAAGACACGCAGGCAGACAGACAGACAGACAGACAGACACAACACAGACACAACACAGACACAACAGACACAAACAGACACAAACAGACACAAACAGACACAAACAGACACAAACAGACACAAACAGACACAAACAGACACAAACAGACAGACAGACAGACAGACAAACAGAGACCACGGATACCGAGGTATAGCAATCATTGCTTCTGCTGTTGCCCTTTGGCTTTTGCATTGCCTTAAGCGGTCCCAGAAGAAAGCTAGCACGGGCACATTGATGAGGCGAACCATGTCTGGATTCTTTCACTTGCGTCGTGTATGTCGCTTGTTTCACTATTTGCATCAACCGGATCAGACTGAAAGATAGCCATGCAAAAGGAGCCGCGGCAGTAACACCAACAAAGACAGCTACTTAAAGGCATGCAGTCAAAGGGCAGAACATGCTAATTTTGCATGGCTGGGAAAACCTGATGCGGCATGAATAGCTTCATATTGATGATGTAAAACCGATATACGGACGCCCACAGCTATCTTCAGATCACCCGCGTTTCCGTTTCACCCGAAGCCAGCCTCAAAAGCCATGGGTCGCGGCGGTGCGTACAGAAAGGGAAAGGCCCCGGCAGGCAAGGGAAAGAAAAGCGAAGCAAAGAAGAAGAAGAAGTCGCAAGGCGCAATTGTGCCAAGGTACGCGTACTTTGCAAAGTCCGCGCTGGCAGCGTATCCCAATGAGAACGGGGTTCCATTCTACCTCCCCAAAGGCATGGACGAGAAGAAATTCCTCCAACTAAAGTCTATCTTGGAGTCCCGTTCAGGAAAGGACGAAGAACTGTTCCGACGCCCCGGCATGGCACTGGCGTTGGACGCGGCCAGCACGCACAACGGCGCGCGACTGCTACGCAAGCGCTTTGGCGAAAGCCTGCCGGGGGAGATGCGCGAAAAACTGCGCAAGACAGGAATTCCCGGGGTCATGGAGGCATTCGCCACGGAAGGCGGCAAAGCCTTCGTGCAGAGCCTGTCGGTCCTGGACGTTGGAAAGACGAGGCGGCCTGGGGAGAAAAGATTGAAGAAGGCCGTGAAAGTTTTTGAGGAGCACTTGAGGGCAGACGACGGCAGCCTCCGGAGGAATCTTGCACGGCTTGCTTCGGATGCTGCTGCGCTGTACCTATTTGCCATGACGTTGCTGAAGGACATGGCATTCATCCACAACCCCAAAGACTGGGCCAAAAAAATGGAAGGAAAGCAACGCAGCGAAGTCAAAGCTTGGCAGAAGAAGCCCAGTGACCGCGCCATGCTGCAAGCGGCATTGGTTGCCGAAATCGTGGCGAAAGCAAGCGCCAACGATCCCGCGCCAGGAGGCCAAGAAAAGGCATCGGCGGATTCCTCGCCGGCACCTGCCGCGGCTTCCGCCGACTCCGAGACATCCAGGCCGACGGCCTCCAGTGCAAGTGGCAGCGCCCAGCCGCCGCCAAAGAGACGCGCGAGGAGCCGCGGAGCAAGTGCGGCCAAGAGTACGACGGGAATCAATGCGAAGGCGGTTGTGCTCAGCAAAGAAGACGAGGAGACCGAGACCGAGTGAGCTTGCATTAGTTAGGGCGTGGGCGCAGTGAGTAGGTGTAAATAGCAAAGCTTGCACAAAGTCGGTGCGCTTGTGAACTATGTGGCGGCTTGGCCGGCTACTCATGAAAGGTATTTCCCAGGGTCAGTTTTGATGGATCCTATCGCAAGAAATCAGGCAGGCGCTAGCATGGCCCTGGAAGCAGGCACAATCCAGGCCATCGGCCTTACCAGAACAGAGGGCTTGAAACGGACAGGAGCTGGCATGACCATAATGCCCGCTGAAGCGTGCTTTGCTGGAAGTACATGTGTACAGCGTGCAAAACCATGGGTACAGGTGTTTGAATCTGCAACTGACGTTTGACAGCGCAAAAAAAGAAACAGCGACAGACCCCAGGGAGCTGCATGCCTTGAGCCGATGCGTAAGCTTTTGCTAGGCCTGGAAAATGACGTTACGTTGACACACAGATACCCATGTGTCATACATCATGCATGTGTAGGTTCCGAAAGCATTGTGACCATTGTGAGCATGGAATTCTGTCATGGCCAGACTTGCTTGATAAAGAATTGAAATGTGCTTTGGGATGACGGTTTTGCGACGTCACGGCGCAGCTTGCCAATCAAGTCACGCCGCGATTGTAGCCCGTGTAACTCGCATACCCCTTTGTGTTGCCATGGCTCCAAAGGCGAAAGGCGGCGCAGGACACAAGGCTGCCCAGGACTATGTGTCAGGATTGTGGCAGCAAGGACTGGATGAGGCGACCGTGCGCCAGCAACTCCGAGAGGATGGCTACAAGGCAGGAAGAATTTCCCAACTGATCAAAGCAACACGGCCTGCGCAAGGACAGGCGCGCCCTGTTGCGGCAGCCCCAAAGGCCATGGCAAAGCCTGCCACTGCTGACCACGCGACAACTGCGAAGGCGAAGCCATCAGCGTCGAGCGCGGCAGCGAGTCGAGAGGCCGGGGAACAAGCAGAACAATAGATCATGCCTGTAGCAATGAATACCATGCTGCATAGGGGTTGTAGAGGGTCATGCAAAAAGACACGAAACGTGCTGGTTTAAGCATGCTCGCTGCTAGCGAGCCCGTGTTTGCCAGGCTGTTTCCCTGACCGACGCGGAGGAGCCAGACGACGACAGCGAAGGCGAGGAGGAGTTCCAGGCAGACCCGGCAATGGCAGACGGCGACAGCACAGATGCGGAATCGGAGAACAGCAACGAAGACTTGAATGTCCATCATTTCCTCGTGGACTTGGAGGCCGAGTTGGAGAACAGAAGAGCAGACCTCGACCACTTGGACAGCATGAGCTTGCCAGGGTCCCCGGAGGACGGGGAGCAAGCTGGCTCAGCAGACGAGCTGGAGGAAAGTTTGGTGGTGCCTGGTCCGGAGGAGGACAGCAGCGATGAAGAAGAGGACGGTAGCGATGGGCAAGAAGCAGAAGACGACGACGAAGATGATGAACCGGCACGGAAGCGGCCACGAGTCGAGCAGCAACAAATCCCAGGCGCCAGGCGATTGAGGTACAAGCAGCCGCCGCCGGCAGCCTACGTTCAGATGGCAGCGGCCTCAACAAGGAAGGTGTTAAAGAGGCCTGCCATGCGGAAGCGACCGGCTGCAAGCAAAGCGCCGGATAGCAAGCGATGCCAGGGACAGCAAGGTGCAGCGTGTCAGTTCTGCACCGTGTGTCCAGGAAAAGCGGCACGGGCGCAGCCAGCACGGGGCATCCACCACTGCATTTTCTGCAAGGCAGAGCGTATGCGAGAAGCATATGCCACCATGAGGCGAAGAGGGCTGTTTGGTTGCAGGGTTCAGTTAATCGGTTGTATTCGAATACAAATAGGCGCTTGCAGGCGGTTGTGGTTTCTGCTTGTAGGAGAGACGCACGGTAACCAGAATGCTTACATGGCTAACAGTACATGTTTGTTTGGGCCCGTGAACATCATTTGGACCAGACGACTTGGGGGGATCGTGCCCGCCTGCCCGCCGCAGGGGGAAGCAAGAGATCACAAAAGCCTTGCGCAAGTTTTACAACGCAGACCGCTCTGTTTACCACCTCGCACTGCAGCGGGTGAAGCAGTTCCTTGGCAACGCGGTTGCAGAGGAATACCGCAAGAAGGCAGAGCCCAAGGAAGCCTGGGAACGACATCTGCAACACAAAAAGCTGGCGGGCAAAGAGCTGAAAGACAAAGAAAGAATGGAGTACGAGGCATTGGTGCGCCGGGATCAGCGGGTGCCCCGGCGAAAGTTCTTCTTCCCAGAGAAGCAGCTCGCCCGTGCAGGTGAAGAGGCTGAAGCAGCCGAGAGAGCCGCGGTCAAAGAAGCTTGTGGCGAGATAGGGCACGTGGCCCCGAATGATTCTGATTTGCCGCTGCCAACAGACCAGAAGGCCCAGATGGTGGAAAAGTGGTGCAAGCACGGCTCTTGGGGCATGTGTGAAAAGTGTCACAGCATGTGCCCAAGAAAATTGACACCCATGGACCTCAAAAGGGTGAACAAGGCGACCGTCCCAAAGAACCAGTGCACAGCGTGCTTGCACGATGAGTACGTGCCACAACCCGAACACATCCCAGCGCCTCTTCGAGGTTTGAACGCACGGGTGCTGGAAGCATTGCGGCCCTTGGAGATTGATATCGGCTCCCTCGAAAGGGTGCCCAACGGCTATAGGGTGCACAATGCGATGATGGCCTTCGCTTGGAAGATGCGCAGCGTGGAAACTGAGATTGCAGCGTTGAGGAAGCGGAGGGACAGGAGGGCAGCAAAGGAAGCGTTCGAGTTTCTCCTGGGCAGCGAGGACAGCGCATATAAGGAGATCCTCGAAGAGCATCAGAAGTTCCTCAACAAGCATGGCAGCCGCGCGCCTCTCCAGAAGCGCCGGCATCCCCTGCGATTCATTGAGACGAAAGGTTTGGAATGCTGCTTATGGCCACACCTGTATTGGCACCGCAATCTGTGTGAAACCGTTGCCCGGGCATCCCATGAGAGCCGAAAAAGAGCCAGACCCCGGCAGAGACGTGCCGCAGACACAAGCAGCGATCAAGAGGGCGCCAGCCCAGAAGACGCAGAGAACGAGGAAGCCAAGGAAGGCGATGAAGAGGAGGACGAGGGCAACCAGGACTTTGTCGCCGAGGACGCCGCAGAAGCAGAACCTAACATCGTGGCAGCAGAACAGGGCCGCATCAGAAGATGTTTTCTTCGCAAGGTCCTTTTTCCTGTGATCGGGTACGGCGCAGATTATCTCTTGCTTTACTTTGTGTTCGACCTCTCCATGTGGACCACGATCGGCACGAAGAAAAACCTAGCGGCTCGCACCGGTGTGGCGCTCCGCCACATGCTGAAAGGGTCGCCTTGGACAGCGCAATATTGGCGGGTGCGGCACCAGGCCGTGCTGGACATGCAAAGACAATGTGGAAATGCCTCTCTTTTCCGCACAAGGGCCCCATACGAAAGGTCTTTCCCATATCATGAGTGGGTTATGCATGAGCAAGCAGCTCTGGGCCGCCCCCGGCAACATTTGGCTGGAGCAGAGACGCTGCACATGGCGCACGTTTTGAAGGAGTTGGATAAGAGCTACATCTGTGGGGACCAGGCGCACGCAGGTCGATCGGATCGCACGTGGACAGGCCATGTGCTTGGCCCGGCAGACGAAGGCAGCAACATCAGCACTGTGGTGGCCCACGTTACGCGCCTGGAGTTTCAAGACGGGAAAAGGAAACAGGCGAGCCAGCGATACCATGGCAGGGGCACTGTGCACAGTCATTCCTTGGATTTTCTCGAAAATGTCGAGGCCATCGGCCTGGAGAACAAAATCCAAGCGACTATTCCGCCCAAGGAAACGGAGCCATTCCTGCATGGCCTGGTCATGGACTCCCAACAAGACTATAAAGATTCGAAGCTACCGGTCCGTGAGGAGCCATCGGCCTGGGACCCCGAGGCAAGGGCTGTCGCCCTTCACCACACGGAGGAGGACAAAGCCGCGCACATCCGAGCGTACATGAAGCCGACCATGGAGATCACCAAATGCCATGAAGATGTGGAGCAGGGCGGCGGCACAGACAGCCGTAACGGCGCAGTGCTGCACTATATTGCCACGTACGGCATGAAGTTTAGCAGCAGCATGGATTCGGAGTGGCTGAGCGGAGAAGGGTCAGATTACAGCACTGCCGTAGGTGTCCTGCGACGGATCCGGCTTCTGGAGCCTGAGATGTGGCTTATTCTTGCAGCGGAGCGCTTCCCCCAATGTGTAATGAGCGGCAGCATGTGCGACATCATGGCCCCGAACTTCGACAACATGGAAAAGAAGCCAAAGTTCGTGGAGGTCTATGAGGCGGCTGCCTGGCGCCGAGATGACATGATACTGTTGGAATTTCTGCGTAAGTCAAATACCGACGGAAAGATCATTAACTACATCGTGGAAAAGCACAAAAAACAGGTCATGCAGGAGGTGCAGAGGCAGCGCCAAGAAGATGATCGTGCATTCGCAAAGCATCGGAAAGAGCTACTGAGCACCTGGGACCAACACAAGAAAGCATGCAAACGCGAGGGAGAAGAGCCCGATACGCTCAATGATTTCGCGGCCCAGGAGTACGGGTACGACGACCTTACCCCTTTGGAAGTCTTTGCAAACGATTACAAAACCCGGGGGGAGAAGCTGATTGCGGCCACCATGAACTCCATGTTGAACGACAAGTATTATGCACAATGGCTTGCTTTGAACAAGCCCTTCCGCAAGCTCGAAGCCTTCCAGGATGACGCGCCAGAAGTCATGGAAAAAGTGAATGCGAAGTATCGGAACTTCGCGCTCTGCCTGCACCACGCCCCGGAGTTCTGGGACAACGATGAAGTCATTCAAGCGGCAATGGAATTGGAAGCCCACAGCAAAGCTTTCGTACAGACCATCTTGAACAAGGTCCGGGCGCAGCGGTGCATAGTCAAACGCTATCTCGAAGGAGAGATCCCGGTGGAGGCAGAGGTGCCAAGCCCCTCCGACTCGGCGGACAGCGCCGTGCGCGCGGACGGCCGTGTGCAAAAGCACAAGCTGACACGGTCGCAGAAACATCTCAAGGAGAAGGTTGCGCAGCAGATGAAGATTGCAATGGCTGCCTGCCATACGCAAACGGATGAGGAGTTGGAGGCGTGCAATGCCAAGGCAGTGGAGCACAAGATCCTGTTTGCAAGCGGTCCGCCGGGCACCGGAAAAACGCACGTCATCCACGAGCAAGTCCGCAAATGGAAGCGCCAAGGTGCCAGGATCCTCTTCGCGCTCCCCACAGGACAGCTTGCGTCGGAAGTGCGAAGCGTGCATCCAGATGTCGACGTGGACACCTCCCACGGAGCTTTCCTGCTGCACAAACCACTTCAAGAAGCCATGGCAATCCTCACCCAGTACGAGATGGTCATCATCGACGAGGCACCGACGGGATGCATGCTGGAAACCCCTGCTTTTACATCCTAGTAGTGATTCTCTTATGTCTCAAGCGAGCCGTTTTGGCAGTGTTGTTTGTCGTTGGAATCTGGTTGCCCTACCCGTCGCAGGTCTCCATGCTGACAGCGGAACACTTTGAACGCATCGTGGCAATGTGGAAATATGCAGATCAGCTTCCTTGTCTGATTCTCTTGGGCGACTTTTGGCAGCTTCCGGTGGTTGACAAAGACGTACGGCGCTGTGATGAAAGCCAGGCATGGCCAACGCAGGTGAAAACCATCCACTTCCGTGAGCAGGTGCGCTGCAAGTCCTCGAAGCTGCAGTACAAGCTCGATGTCCTGCGGACGGCACAGCCGAGCATGAAGCAGCTCAAGAAGAAAATCTTGAGGGGGCACCGAGCGTGGAAGACGAACGAACCGACAGCCTACGACGTCCTGGACCTCTTCCGGGAGCACGGCACCACCACCATTGTGACATGCAGCCGGCAGGCCTGTGCCAGGGCAAACGCATTAGCCCTGCAAGCATTCTTCGAACATCGGCACAAGGAACCCATCGGCAACGTGCTCTTTGATTACGAGGCCAACCTGGACAATTACGATCCGGCGACCAACAAGCTGAAGAAGGGCCGCTTGGTTGGAGCCGAGACGGATGTCTATGAAGGCATGCGTATCTTCTTGACCAAGAACATGGACAAAGAGCACGATTTTGTGAACGGCATGAGCGCCACGGTGGAGTCCTATGACAATAGAAGCAAGTACTTGGAAGTGCTCACGCGAACAGGACAGAGGCTTGCTGTGCACATGGTCGGCCACGAGCTTGAGGATGGCAGGCGGGTCACTTGCTTTCCGGTCCGCCTGGGGTACGCGTGCACCATACCGAAGGTCCAGGGCATGACGCTTCCACATGTGACCATCTGGCTGGATACAATAGGTTGCAGGGCTGCGGCATACGTGGCGATGTCGAGGGTACAAAGAGACGAAGAGTACCTCATTGCCGGTGGCCCGCTCACGCCGAGGCATTTCGCGCCAGCACAGTGAGGCACAAGTTTGCACATGTAGGAACACGTTTCAGGGCCACGCAGACAGCCAGTACAGAAGCGCTGCCGCACAGATGTGGCCGAGAGACGCGAAGCAGCGGGACAAAAAACGCGGCAGAGAAAGTGCAATGGCAGACGTGTGCGTTGAAGGTTGAAACGTGTTCATGGGGATTGGCTTTCCTGCACGCTGTGATAGGTTGAGACGCCGCTGGGCTCAAGCCGGCATGGGCCGATGTGAGGGGTTGGGCGGGCCTTGCAACTTGCCCCCTGGATTCCCTCAGTGGCACCGGCCTTGCCGACCTGTTTGTGCGTTTATATATGTTTTGCTGTGCCGGGGAGGAACAGTCCGGTTTGACACGGCTGTCGCAGTTTCGATTTTCGGACGGTTTGTCTTGAAGATGTTTTTTTTGGCACTTTAGGGCGGCACAGCTTGTTTCAAGAGCTGCTTCTTTGGCACTTTAGGGCGGCACAGCCTGTTTTAGGACCTTTTTTTTGGCGCTGTAGGGCGGCACAACCTGTTTTAGGAGCTGCTTTTGTGACACTTTACACAGCCTGTTCCAAAAGCTATTTTTTTTTGACACTTCAGGGCGGCACAGCTTTGGTTTAGGAGCTGCTTTTTTTGGCACTTTAGGGCGGCACAGCCTGTTTTAGGAGCTCCTTTTTGGCACTTTAGGGCGGCACAGCCTGTTTTAGGAGCTATTTTTTTGACGCTTTACGGCGGCACACCCTGTTTTAGGCGCTGCTTTTTTGACACTTTAGGGCGGCACAGCCTGTTTTAGGAGCTGCGTTTTTGGCACTGTAGGGCGGCACAGCCTGTTTTAGGAGCTGCTTTTTTGACACTTGAGGGCGGCACAGTCGGATTTAGGAGCTGTTTTTTTTGACACTTTAGGGCGGCACAGCCTGTGTTAGGAGTTGCTTTCTTGACACTTGAGGGCGGCACAGCCTGATTTAGGAGCTGTTTTTTTGACACTTTAGGGCGGCACAGCCTGTTGTCGGAGCTGCTTTTTTGACACTTTAGGGCGGCACAGCCTGTTTTAGGAGCTGCTTTTTTGACACTTTAGGGCGGCACAGCCTGTTTTAGGACAAGTTTGGGAGCAGGATTTGGCGCCGGACCCTGTAAAACGGCATTTTTTAGTATTGAAATCATCTCCTTTTTGAGCCCTGAAAATTTTCGATTTTTGGGAGGTTTGTCTTGAAGATGCCTTTTTGACACTTTAGGGCGGCACCGCCTGTTTCAGGAGCTGCTTTTTTTACACTTTGGGCGGCACAGCCTGTTCGAAACCACTGATGTCTTCAATTTAAAGCCCTTAAACTCTTAACCCTGAAGGTCGTTAATTTTAAAGCTCTAAACCCTTCATTTCCTTAAGTTTAAGGCTCTGAACCCTTAATTTTCCTTAATTGTACAGCTCTAAACCCGTTATTTCCTTAAGTTTAAGGCCCTGAACCCTTAATTTCCATTTTTTTAGAAATTTTAAGGCTCTACACCCTGAAGTTCCTTATTTTAAGGCTCTAAACCCGTTAGGTCCTTTATTTTAAGGTTCTTAACCCTTAATGTCCTTAATTTTAAAGCGTTACACCCTGAATTTCCTTAATTTTAAAGCTCTAAACCCTTCATTTCCTTAAGTTTTAAGGCTCTGAGCCCTTAATTTCCTTAATTTTAGAGCTCTGCACCCTTCATTTTCTTAATTTTAGAGCTCTACGCCCTGAATTTCCTTGATGTTCAGGCTGTTTTAGGGCAAGTTTGGGAGCCTGAAAAAGGCCCAGGGTCAGGATTGGTGCCGGACCCCTTAAAACGAGTATTTTTTAGTATTGAAATCACCTCCTTTTTGAGTCCTGAAAATTTTCTATTTTTGGGAAGTTTGGATTGAAGTTGCTTTTTTGGCACCTCAGCAAGGCACAACCTGTTTTGGGAGCTGCTTTTTTGAGACTTCAGGGCGGCACAGCTTGTTTTAGGAGCTGCCTTTTTTGAGGCTTCAGGGCGGCACAGCCTGTTTTAGAACCTGCTTCTTTCACACTTTCGGGCGGCACAGCTTGTTTTTGAACCCTTTGAATGTTAACATGGGGCTCCGGGATGCCAAATGGTGAGGACTTTGGGGTTATCCTTTACTGGCTACGCCAGTGGAAGTGAGTCGTCAGGCTTGCTGTGGCCTTGCTTTGCAGTTGTCCTGCTAGGCTTAACCCTAGCAGGCCCGTAGATTCGTATTGGCGTCCAGGGTCTGCCTGGAGCCCCAGTGGCTCGAGCGCCCATGTATATGGTCTTGGCGCTCTCGCCTGTTTAGGGTTTAGGGTTTAGGGTTTTAGTGTTTAGGGCGTCTCCGCCCCGTGGCAGGGGGTTCTTCCCACGCAGTGGTTTGCGCCGCCGCACACCTAAAAGGTGTGAAGGCGGCGGCTTATGAGCGGAGCCGTTTTTGATAGATGTTGTTGTTGGGCCGCTGGGTGCGCGGTGACCCTTTCTTACTTTCCCACCCCTCTCCAGCTTTGGAGGTAAGCCACCCTATCGTCCACCTTTTAGGGTTTAGGGCAAGCCCTAAAATTCCCACCCTTTTGGGCCAAATCCTGGCCAGGAGCCTTTTGGAGGCAAATTTCTGCTATTTGAGAGCCTTTGGGCCGGCAAGTAAAATCCCAGCAGCTTTCTGCCTTTGCAAGGCCCTGGGGCCGGCTATTGAATTCCGCTTCTGGGAGCTTCTGGGAGCCTCTGGGAGCTTCTGGGAGCCTCCGGGAGCTTCTAGGAGCCTTCTGGGAGCCTTCTGGGAAGCTTCTGGGAGCCTTCTGGGAGCCTCTGGGAGCTCTGGGAGCCTCTGGGAGCTTCTGGGAGCCTCCGGGAGCTTCTAGGAGCCTTCTGGGAAGCTTCTGGGAGCCTTCTGGGAGCCTCTGGGAGCTTCTAGGAGCCTTCTGGGAAGCTTCTGGGAGCCTTCTGGGAGCCTCTGGGAACCTTTCTGGGAGTCTCTGGGAGCTTCTGGGAGCCTCCGGGAGCTTCTAGGAGCCTTCTGGGAGCCTTCTGGGAGCCTCTGGGAGCCTCTGGGAGCCTTTCTGGGAGCCTCTGGGAGCTTCTGGGAGCCTCCGGGAGCTTCTAGGAGCCTTCTGGGAAGCTTCTGGGAGCCTTCTGCAACCCTCTGGGAGCCTTTCTGGGAGCCTTCTGGGAACCTTCTGAGAGCCTTCTGGGAGCCTCTGGGAGCCTTTGGGAGCCTTCTGGGAGCCTCTGGGAGCCTCCTGGGAGCCCAAATCCTGGCCAGGAGCCTTTTGGAGCCAAATTTTGGGACTTTGGTGGCTTGGAGCACTGCAATTAAAGCTGCCTTCTGGGATCCCTGGGAAACGGCCCTTTTGGGCCAAATCCCGGCCAGGAGCCGTTTGGAAGCAAATTTCTGCCATTTGAAGGCCTTTGGAATGCCTTCCGGGAGCCTTGGAAAGCCAAAATTTGCCAAAACCAGCTCCAGCCCAAAGGGGGGACCCTTACCCAAAAACAAGCCCTACAGACTAAATAAGCTTTAAAACGGCCTTTTTTGGGCTTGGCTTGGCTTGCCCGTGGAGGGCTTGCCCGTGGAGGGCTTTCCACCCTTCGGTTTAGGGTATTGGCCTTCCTAGGCAGGAAGGTGTTGTGGACACACAGTTTATGTGAGCGCGGCTTAACGCCGCCTATTGGGGCCAAGCCCTGTTCTTGCACATGCCGTGCAAGGCCCAAGGGGCCTTAACAGACCACTCTCCTGAGGCTCCTCCCTCTGTCCTGCCCAGCCTTGGTGTATCTCACTGCCGGGTGTGTTCGGGGTGCCGGCCACCCTGTTTAGGGTGGGTGCGGCCAAGACGGCCTGGGTGGGAATTTAGGGTTTAGGGTTTAGGGCTTAGGGTTTAGGGCTCGCCAACACAGGTGGCGCCCAAAGCAAACTCAGCTGCATCACTCGCATCACCAACTTCTCTCTAGTAGGGTCACGCCCTGGGATGGACACTTCAAGCCTTTAAGCTTTCCGGAGGGGCCCAGGCTGCAACTTCAAGCCTTCAAGCTTTCCAGGGGGGGCCACGCTGCAACCTCAAGTCTTCAGGGGGTGCCAGGCCACAACCTCAAGCCTTCAAGCTCTCGAGGGGGCCCAGGCTGCAACCTGAAGGTTTCAAGGTACTCAAGCTTTCCAGGGGGCCAGACTGCTATTCCAGGGGGGTCAGACTGCAACCTCAAGCCTTCAAGGTACGTCAAGCCTTCAAGCTTTCCAAGGGGGCCAGGCTGTAGCCTCAAGCTTTCAAGGTGCTTTCCAGGGGGGCCAGGCTGCACCTCAAGCCTTTAAGCTTTCTAGGGGGCCAGGCTGCAACCTCAAGGTTTCAAGGTACTCAAGCTTTCCAGGGGGGTGGAGACTGCAATTCTAGGGGGGCCAGACTGCAACCTCAAGCCTTCAAGGTACCAATTCAAGGTAACAACTTATCTCTATTGGGGTCACGCCCTGGTGCGAAGATTCAAACCTTCAAGCTTTCCAAGGGGTCAGGACGTAGCCTCATGCTTTCAATGTTCTTTCCAGGGGGGCCAGGCTGCAACCTCAAGCCTTTCCAGGGCCAGGCTGCAACCTCAAGCTTTCCAGGACGGCCAGGTTGCAACAGACTTCAAGGTGCCAGCTTCTCTCTAGAGGGGTCACGCCTTGGACTGGAGATTCAAGGCTTCAAGCTTTCTAGGGGGGGCCCAGGCTGCAACCTCAAGCCTTCAAGGTCCACAGGCCGGGTCTCCCCAGGCTCCAAGGAGTAAGTCCACGGGTCCAAGGTTGCGCCCCCAAAAGCTCCAAAGGCGCAGGCCCGTAGACCCCAAGCTTTCAAGGTTCAGGTGACTGCCGGGTCAAACCTTCAAGCCCCAGAAACGCAGAGCCTTCAAATCTTTACGTTGCTGAGCCCTTAAACTCTTAGCTTCTGAGCCCCTCTGAGCCCCCCTGAGCCCCGACACTTACGGCTTTGAGCCTTGACTCTTTGAGTTACTGAGCAGTAGCCAAGCTTCCAAGCTTGTGAGCTTCGACCCGAAGCTATTGAGTAAACTTTAAAATGCCTCGACGGAGGCTAATCTACCAAGCCGAGCTTCCGCATAGGCTTCCTGAGCGGCTCGAGCCCTTTGAGCACCATGCACTTTGACGGCTCTCCCGGCCTTCGGTCTGCCAAGTTCAGCAAACCAGGGCGGCCAGCCTCCTCAGAGAGGATGCTGCCGGGGTGCCCCAAGCCCCGGCCCCCGCCTTGTGCAGGGGAGGGTTGTCAAGTCGGTCCCCCGCCGATAGACGAAGTTCAGGACAAAGGCCTGGCAAGAGCGGGCGGGGCAAGGAGTAGGAGAAAGGAAACACAGTGAAACAAGCAGGTCTCGCTTTCCATAGTCAGTAGTGGCCCCAGCGCCATGCAGGCACCTAAGGTTCAGAGCAAAATGAAAGGCCAGAATGCAGAAGTGACGTGGCTGTAAACGACTGCTGCCCCTGTTAAGCTGCAGATGGTGTGCTATGTTGGCTTAAGGCTCTTCCTTGCCTTGCAGTTTCTTTGGCTGTTTCCCCGGGTTAGGCCTGCTGTTGCCGGCTGTGTGGCCGTCATGCTTCTCCTTGCCGTTTTTTTGCTATCAGTTTTGCGGTTCGCCAGGTCTTGACGACGCAGCTTGAGCCTGCGCAATGATGATTTTGTCGGTGGATGAAATGAAGATAGCACCTGCCACATGCGCAGTCTTTCTTCCAATAGGGCTAAAGAAAAGTCAACAATCATGAAGGCACATATTTGCAAAATAGTATATAATTTCATGCACGTCTATGCCTTGGGACGTAGTTATGAACGGAAGCATCTGTGTGACACGCACTGAAGCAAGAAAGGGTTGAACCCAATAGCAAACACTAGGTTGACATGTAAAACCAATGCTCTCCTGGTTGCAGACACATCACGCTTGTTTTCAGAACCAGGGCACGCCTGTCAGTCTGCTGTCCTACCGATCGAAAATTTGACTAACGGTGTTCCAGACTCACTATTTCAGAGCACTACGCGTCTATATGGATCTGTGAAGGCTCTATCTGGATCTGCGCTTTGGCATATTTCACTTCCGTCTGCAGTCCGGACAATATCTCTGCCTCTTGCCGCCCTTCGGCTGCGCCTCCTTCCACTTGCGCTTGCAATGCTGGTTCCGGCATGTGTGTTCACCTTTCTGCCAGCTGTCTCGTGAAGAACAATTCAGACACCTCTGCGCTCCACCTTCGGCACAATTTGGAAAGATTGAGCTGCACGTCTTGCACTTGAAGAAGCCGCCCCACTGCCTGATAGTCTGCTGCTTGATGTGAGCCTGACAAGGCAAGCACAGGATCCCTTTGACGGGCATGGTGACCATGGACATCTCAAATTCAGTGTGCGGCTTGGTCTCGGAACATCTGCGACATTGCATCTCTGTTCGCGACGCCTGCAAACATTTCAAGCACCTTCTCGATGTCTCAGCCTCCTTGCTCTCCAGCTGTGCTCGTGGGAAGGCCTCTGCAATCTTCATGGTCTCGCAGCCGAAGCACTGGTGTTTCTGCAAGCTCTCGGCCTCCAACTTGCGGCGGCGCTTGGGATCCACGCCAGTCTTGCAAGCTGTGCATATGCCGAGCTGGTTGGCCCGGACCTTCTCCCATTGCTGGTGGGGGTACATGTCCATAGGGAGGACCTCTCGACACGTCTGGCATGTGCTGCAGGGCCGCTTTGCATCCCTGTAGGCTGCCCAGTCGATGGCATGTCCACGGAGTTGCCGAAGTAGGAGGTCAGGGCCATCGGACGTGTTCCGCTGATAGAGCCAGGCTGGGAACGGCCGCAAGATCAACACATCATAACGAGACCGAACCCTTGTTGAAGCCACCGTGCCAATGGTTGAGTCGAAGATCTTGTCGATGTTCAAATCCAAGAGCACGGCCCGCAAGGTCTTCCCTTGACTCGCGTGTGCTGTCATGGCATAAGCCGGAGCCAAGGGCAGCTGCGTCCGGTTTACCTTCAACATCTTCACCTGGCGCCTCCTGTCCAAATACCATTCTCCCGTCCTGGGCCTGATCGGGTAGAGACCTGGTTCCTCGATGCCATCGAGCTGCCACATTGCGCCCTCGAACTTGACGTAGACGACGCTGGGGCGGGGCTCATTCTCCAGCCAGACCCAGGAATGCACCGTGCCGACTTGGCCACGCAGCAGCAGCTTGTCCGGTGATTTGTCGATGTGCTCCGTGAGTGCTACCCGCATGCCACGAACCAAAGGCAGAGTCCCCATCAAATTGCCGGTGTCTCCGGGATGGTACTGCAACCACCTGGCACACCACCGCGCCGACCATTGCCATCAACATTCTCGTCATCATCGTCATAATTGTGTATCATCATCATCATCATCGTCATCGTCATCGTCATCACCATCATCATCATCATCATCAACATCCCAAAGATGGCCCGGGCATGCGCTGATATGGTTATATTATTATTGCGTATCTGACCCTGGAAAAAAGTAGGTCTTAAAGGATGCTGATATACAGTAATATCATTGTCATTTTTAAAACCCATTCTCACACACCGTGCTCTGTTAATTAGAATCTCGAGGGCTGATAAAGAAGAGAACCTCTGCTACACAATCCATAAATGAAGCCAAGGTGCTTGATCTTCCGGTCCTTGTCACACATCTGGCTCTGCAGAGCCTCCGCTGACGCAACGTCTTTGGCAATGGCCCACCTGAGCTTCTCGCCCGTGTCGCGCGCGAACTTCTTGGCCCTGTCCTTGTTGATCTGGTACTTGGCATCGTTGTTCGCGACAATGACGGGCGCTTCTTGGAAGCGCGCTTCGAGCAGGCGCGGGTCATCGGGGCCAGTGATCACTCGGCGCCGCGAGGCGCGCTCTTCGGCCGATAGCCGACAACCTTCCACTGGTTCACCAAGCAGATAGCGATGGTTCTTGTCAGAGAGCTTGCCGGCGCGGATTTCTTCTGTGACCTCGTTCCACCACTCGTCATTGCACCGCTGCCTCTCCTCCAACTCGATCATGCCTTCGACCTCTTCCCACATCAGCTTCTTGCCTGCATCGGCTAGGGGATCCGGCGCTTTGCTGGTGCAATGCGGTCCGACCTTCAAGGCATGCGGCGCATCTGCGAGGTAGCCGCCCTGTGGCGGAGGAAGCTGCTTGAAATCACCAATGAGCACCACGTTGACGCCGGCAAACGGTCTTGTACTTCCCTTGTTCTCCCTGTCCTGCTTCCATTCGTCCGTCTGCGGCTTGACTTCTTGTAGCCGGTGTTCTGCCCGGGCAAAGAGGTCGGCGGGCACCAGGCTGATCTCGTCGATAAAGACCCAGCGCCAGTATGCCATTCGCTTGGCCTTGTCTGGGCTCATAGCATTCCATTCAGTGCGGTTGAACGGGTTCAGGCAGAAGGCATAGTGCATGGTTACGCCCTCCAGGTCAACGGCGTTGGTTGCTTGGAAGGCCACGAACTGGTAGTCGATGCTTTCCTGCATGCCGACCAGGCGAAAGAGCTGCTTCACGAACTTCGCCACGTGCGACTTCCCAGTGCCCGGCGGGCCATGTAACATGTATCGCAGCGGCTCGGCACCATCTTCCCGCAGGGAGTCTTGTGGATCCTTTAAGCGGCATTCAACCATGAGCCGGTCTGCCACCAACTGCAAGAAGTCGAACTGCTTTGTGTTGACCTGACCGCGGGTCCCGTCCAGTCAGTCCTCGATCAACGCCAAAGTCACTTTCGGCTTCTCCTGTGGCACAAGGGTGCACTTGTATGATACATGGGGCGCGCTGAGCAAGGGAGCTTGTATATATCGGCAATGTCCACATTAAATTTATAAGTTCGTTACAGCCCGAGATGCCCAAGCGGTAGCGCGGATAGAAGGCACGGTGGAACTCAGATATGCAATGTTTGAGTCGAAATATCTTAATTTTCTCTGATGTGTTTCATTCATGCCACTTATTAAAAAACGTTCGCTTTATAATATCAAAGCAATGCCTTTTAAATCAATACGTACAGGATAGTTGTACAAATTGTCCTTCAAAGCTCGTGGTCGTGGTACAACGTATAGCGCAACATGCATTCAACCCCCCCGCCTCAATCTCAGGCATGGCCGCGCCAAGAAGTCCAGTCTTTCGAGTTGCCTCGCCCTTCTCCCCTGCTGTTGCTGATGCTTTGGCAGACTGTAGAGCCAGGTCATGGTCGATTTCAGTATCTCGTCGCAATGCTGCCACGCGCTCCTGAGCCTCTGAAATATCACCCACTCTGTCTCCGTGCCAGATCGCGCCAGAGAGCCCGAACATTTGCATGGTCATGTCAAAGAGCTTGGTGCGTCCCTCTGCTTCATCCTCTGCGTCGCTTTGTGTGCAGTCTGCCTCTTCTGCACCGCGCCCACTACCACGCACATGCGTCAACGTCGCTTCCAGCAAGTCCTCCTCGTCCAGGGCCATGTCCACCACTCCGTCGGCCAAGTCTTCATTGTCGGAATTCTCCTGCAAGCCGTCCACGAGCCGGACTTGCCGTGGCAGGCAGTAGGTGAAGATGAAGTTCATGGTATAGCGCTTTACTTCTTCTGTTGCGAAACCCACCTGGGATGCATGAGTGATCAAGACATCTTTCCAGCTTCTTTCTGAAGGGCCAGGACATAGGTCGTTGATGAAGGGCACTTCCTTTGTGGCGTCGGCGACGTCGTTGACCCATGGAAAGAAGAGCACCAAGATCCGCATGGCCTGCTCCTCCTCGGTCTTGCTGCTCTGCGCCCCATAGATCACTGGGATGTTGGGCCGCTGCCGGGTACCGATGACCCAATCGTGGCGGTAAGGCTTCGCCAGCTTGCCGTGGCCCAAGGGAAACCAGCCCTCTCCGCCTGCTTCCCGGATCACATAGTCCTTCCCTGCGATCAAGGTCGCCCTCTTCTTCTGGACCTTCTCGCGGCCCTCGTCCGTGAGCATCGCCTCGTACTTCTCCGGGTCTTGGTCTTGATTGAAGACGGTGAAGGGATACTTGGCCTGCTTGATGTGGAAGTGCCTGACAAATTCATATGCGGATAAGTTGTGTAGCTCTGCTCGCCGTCCTCTCCCACCATAGAGGGTCCACGCAGGGCAATCGGTGACCTTGCGGCTGCGCGCGTCGCGGGCATCCACCTGAGGCAGGGCCGGATCAGTCAAGCCAACCAGATCCTAAATTTGTAATCTCAAAATATTGAATCACGAGGTCCATGTTGATATAGGGCCGAGCGAGCCTATT